GTGGGATTACAGGCTGAGCCACCGAGCCCGGCTGAAAAATCATTTCTATGAGGCCTTGTTCTGTGTCGCTTGCTTACCACTGTGCTGTAAATACCCTTAGGTCAGGATCAGCGTGCCAGTGTGGCATCACTGAATGCCAGTTGGGAAGTCATTGGCAGAACAAGTGTGCATAAGCCAGTTACAATTCATCTCTCTGATAATATTCATGGGTCACTATGTTTTCTTTATTTTATGTTTATGATCATTTCTGCCTCACTCTTATGGTGCAGTTTCAGTAAAAATGTGAACCAAAATTATAGCATATTGGAGACAAAGGACATAAATAGTCACATCAATTTTTGAACACACAGTTGTGAAAGCAAAATTTTAGTCCATTAATAGTTGAATAACTCAAATTGTATAAATCATTTGATGGAATAGTTTGGAATTGTCACATTCAAAGGAAGAGACACAAAACTAAGACTCTTAAGTAGACACCCTAGAGAAAATGTGTACATATTCACCAGGACACATTTACAACATTGATAGAATTGTCGTTCTTATTATCCAAAAGCTATAAAATACAAACATAGAGCTACCGAATATATTTCTTAAAATATCATAAGTTTAAATACATATATCATGAAATTGGGACTTCCGGCAAGATGGTGATGGGACAGCTTGGTCTGTGACACACTCCATGAAAGAGAACACACATAAAGACTCTGGCTCTCTCCCGAGGTTGCAGCTCCCATTATCAGCAGCCTGCTCCTCACACAGAGTTCGACCACAGCCACTGCCCCACCACCTCAGCGGTCTCAGCCACCACCACAGCCATGGATGCTGCCGCTGCGGCCATTGCCCCACCCATGCCTGAGGTGACCACAGCTCCAGACCGTGAAGCCCCCACAAGCATGATCTACTGAAATTGCTGCTGCTGCCATGCCTCAGCCCTTGCCCATAGCCAGGCTTGTGGAGCTCCTTCCGTGCATGCACCTTGAAGCAGTGGCCACCACCGCTGCTACCGTTGCTTGCTCCCTCCTGTCTTGAGCAGCCTCTGACTTTGGCCCTGCCAGGCTTGCATTGACTTGCAGCCTCCAGCTGCTGCAGATAAAGATCAAATGGAGCGGTGAGGTACCACCACCTGCTGGCGATCCAAGGTAACAACATCAAAATGGGAAGTCAGAAGCTCCTTCCCCTTCATAAACAGACATAGGCCAAATCTGAGTGGTAGCCTGGGCAAGGAGCCCAGATCTGAACCACCCTTCACAGCAGGCCAGGGGCTGCTGAACCTAACTGTGAACAAATCTACCAGCCTGCAAAGGCAGCAAGAAATCAGAGCTGAAAGGACATTGGACTTAAAGGAAAAGTCTCAGAGTGTGCTTGGTTGGTTCTGTTAGCTTACTGACTTTACTCTATTCTTTGTTTTGTTTTGTTTTGTTCTTCTTTTTTTTCTCTGTAACCC